CCGATCGGCTTGCGAAAGCCGCGGAGTCGCTTATACATTACAATTTTTTATTTTTGCAAAGGGGTTGCTTGCAATCTTTTTGTGTACTCTATTTTTCTTTTTATAAAAAGTAGTTTGTTAAAGTACAAGCATGTTGACTAGTAAAAACAGTTATAAATGAATCAATTACAACAAAAATTTACAATTCAAATGAAACACGAATCATTAAAAGTAGATCATCGTAACGTTACAATTATCAACGAGTGTATTTTGAAAAATCTAAAGCGATAGTATGATGTGCATTAATTTCATGCATCGTCCACTTTTCCTGTGCAATTATACTCAATACCTTCATAGTTTTTAACAGCCAAACAATTGCAGGTTGCGATAATTTTTATACAACACGTAAATGGTAGAATTAATTTACATTTTTTTTTAATTTCTTCTTTCGTTTGGTACTTAATTGTGATAGCTCATGTGAACAGGTGCTTGCAGTTCTATGAAAGCTGTTGTTATGAATTATAGTTACTGTGCTTCGAAAGTAATTTTATTAAAATAAGTCAGCTCATTATAAGCTATCCATAATGACAGTTTATCACTGGGTTACCTAGTATAAAAATTATACTTACATTCTTAAATCGAATAAAACTTGAGTAAAATAACCTTTAAACACAGTCTGAACACTGTTAAAACCCTCATTAATCACTAGTACCAAAACTCAATCAAAATTCCACAATTTCGTTGATTACACTTCATTGTTTATTTCACTCGATTCACAATCAACTCAATTTCAATTCAAACATCAATTTACAATTTAATTAAAACAGATCTGCACAGCTCCACGCAATTTAATAAACGCAAACAAAATTAATTAGCACAAGTAGTTACAAAACAGATTAAAAAAAGTGTACTGAAAAAGGACAAAGAGACAATGTCCACTCCACTCCTGGCTCTGTTCTTACACTGCCTACTTTTCATGCTCTACGCCTACAAATTCACTATTTCAGTAACAACACTGCAATGAGCGGGGAACTCGACCTTATGTGCAGTCGAACAGAGTTGAGAATAAAGTGCATTTTTCGAGGCACGCACCCCATCTCTTTCGCGCGTATTAATCAAAATACCAACTCTACTTTGACGTGGAATCGTAGAAAATGGATAAGCCATTGTTTTCTAAATTGAAACTATGGTTTGCACGGCCGATGTAAGATGGTCCCTTTGCGTTTGTTTCGCGTTAGATTTTGTTCCGGATTGTCATAGATGTATGGGGGAGAGGGGTCTTGTTAGACTGGTTGTGTCTTTGCTTGGTTTAGACAGAATACATAATTGCTATTGCCATCTATAGGTTTTACAATAAAGTGTAATTAAGAACGGACAATGATTAGAATATCGCGAGGGATGTTGTTATTAAGAACATAGCCATTAGGTCTTAATTAAATTGTATGTTGTTACGTGTTTTATTTGGTGATTCACTTAAATATAGATAGAAGGCGCATTTAACGATATTTGGAGGCTATCTGAATATGTGTGATTGACGTTTATTTTGATTATAAAAGTAAAAATCTACGTATCTTGTAGCTTTCAAATAAAACTTTATTTCAGCTTTGCTTCGAACTCGTTCAGTGTTTAAATAAAACTCTACGTTTGATTACCCATCCTTATATCATTATCGATTCATTATTATGTACACACAATACATAGTGAATAATTAATTAAATAAAAAACTATAACTATCTTATTCAACAAAAAGGGCTATAACAGAAATTCTCAACACTACGAATGATACAAAATACAACGATGAAAAGCTAATCACATTATACTTTTTATTTTTCTACCATTTTTGTTTACCCAACGACGCGTAAACCTTAATGTTGTTCATAAACGCATTAATTACAAATCGATAGCGCATAAATTTGATGCAACTGACACAACTCTATTCATAGACAAGATTGATGTCAGAAACAAGAACGTTAATTTAAAAAAAAGAAAACCATATGTAGTCTGTGGTACAGTTTTTACCGCCAAAGCAATAATTTCGTTGTGATTGCCTGTGAGTTTCCCATAGATTCACAATACTAGCAAATAACTGTGCCATGATAATTCTAGACCAAAACCTATGGTTAGTGTGCTAGCTTTTTCATTATTCCTACTTTAAGAACGTTTAAAGTATTCGAAACATATTTTAGTTAGAAACTCCATTATTTTTAAAGACTTCAATAAATAGAGACAATCAAAAGAATTCAATTTTACTTATTAAGTTAAAAGTAAAATATTCCTATGATTCCTGCGTTCAAATGAACAAACTTTAACTTAATATTTTTTTGTTAAATACATAACTAAGCCACGATACTAATTATTGTGTCAAGACAAATTTTACATCACTATGAAGTCATTATGACATCAAATTGCATGATTAGACCATAGACCACAAAACGTGACGAATTAACGTACAGTATTAATAGAGAATATCAAAATTAATAAACAGAATCCTAAGCTACGCATATTAATTATTATATCAGTGCTAAGCCAAACAGTATTTAAGCACGAATCGATGAAGAGAATAGAAAACTCAATTATAAAGGGGATTGATAATAAAATTATGATCAATAAGTAGAATATTAAGAAAATATTTCTAAGAGGTATATAATAGGTTGGTAGGTTTGAAACCCGCACCCTCATGCATGAGAAGGGGGCGTCTTAAACCTCCGGGCCATCACGACTCGAAACCTACCAACGGCAAGTACCAATGTGACTTTTTCTGAGTTATATGTACTTTCTAATATTATTTAGACATCACTGACAAACGGCGAAGGAAAACAACGTGCGGAAACCTGGGCTTATAATTTCTAATTAAAAGTTTGAAATCGCCAACCCACATTTAGCAAGTGTGGTGATTAATGCTCAAATCTTCTCCGTGTGAGAAGAGGCTTTGCTCAGCAATGGGCATTTATAGGCTGTTGATGATGATGATGGTGATATAATAGGTAGGTCATATCATCAGCTTATAAGTCCCCACTGCTGAACGATGACCTCTTCTCAAATGGAGAAAGAATAAGCAATAATTACTTCAAACTCAAAGGGATTGGCTACTTCAAACCTATAACAATACTTAATAGATATAATATATCCTATTCCATTCTAATATAGAATTAATATAGCTAATGTAAAGAAGGCTGCTGACTGAAAGATAGGTGGCGGATAGCAAAAATCAGCCTGTATGAAGCTCAAAAAGTATTATAGTAAAAAATTCTTAGAACACTAAAAAATACAAGACTTTTCTTCCTTAAAATGTATATGATAACGTCCCTAAGTAACATTTAATCATAACCATACATACATACATAAATTCACTGCTGTTACATGAGGGTGGACAGAGACTATGGATCGCCAATTGCTACTATTCTTACATACCTCTTTCGTTTCATCAATAGTCTGATTACTGTTGTACTTTTCATGCATCAGATTATAACCAGATATGTTTAAAATCCTTTTTAGTAAATAGAAGACAAGCCTACAATCAAATACCACTTCAGACATCGCAAAAAATCTCAGATAAAATACTATTTTAATTTAAAACCAGTCAAGATATAATGCCCAGTCTCTTTAACAGGATGTTACCAATCATCAATGCCTAGGTACCTCAAAATATTCCGTTGTACTACAATGACTAACTCGATCTAGGTTTAAAGGTCATGGATACACCATTTTGAGTCACAGTTGATGTTGCATTCTTATGCAGGCAGCCATGATGTCATCAGAAGTGACGGTGATGATGACTGTCAGATGTTTCATATTCGTTAAGGGTTGCTCTTGACACTTTTCATCTTTATATGTATTAGAGGTATCTTTGGGCAGTAAACATTCAAGAATACTTTATATAAGGTAACTAGATATCGAGAATTACGTTATTGTTAAAAACAGACTCAGATGAATCTAGTTAATAGACAAATTATGTAACGAGAATAGTATTGTGAACCTGATTGAAAATGAGTAACCTATGGAGTTTCTTGCTCGTTCTTCTACATAGGAATCTACACCTTGGAACGAGCAAATAGCTTCACTTTTGTTGACGTTCAAAAGTGCCTTTCAGGTCTAATTGAAATAAATGACTTTGACTTTGACTTGGGTACTGAAACGTAGGTACGTATGATGTGATAATCATGAATGGTAATGAAAGAGAAAATGATTTGTCATGTCATACTTAATAAGTCAAAAGATTCCTATATTCATATAGAAAGGTATCTACGCGAAATTGTACACTTCCATTGATACCGTCAATAATTTCCGATACCTTTATATCGAGAAAATTTAGAGTAAGATTTGTGTCTGCAAAAATAAGGACTTACTCAAAAAAAACCTTCTGAACTCCACCCAGTCATGATGCCACAGACTAAGGTTAATGAGGATAAAATTCTTCATATTTACACAACCACAGACATACACAACATAACACGTGTAGCTATATACCTACATCTATTACCAGAACATCTGGCGTACAGTCTTGTTCAATCTATTCCAGCAGTTTATGTTACTGCTGCACACTATATCTGTCTCTAATAATGTTACTCAGGTTATGGACACACCTGAGCTTCGTGAACCACCCCAATCTAGGATTCTGGATAATCAAATTAGAGGACATGATAGTGAGTACTGGGTTTATGGGGCATTCGAATTTGTGGGTGATTTTGGTCAGTGTGTTATTGGTCTTAGATAGTGATATTATTACTGTAGTATATCTAGTAGTTTTTGAGATATCTTTTGTTCAAGCTAAGGTAATAATTGCTGCCTAATCTGTTCCTAATTGATAAAAAATCAATTCTATAGTGTCTCGAGAATAAATAAAAGTTTCATGATGAGTAAATTATGGTCTACATCCCGATTTTAAAACGGCTAAAGAAGCAATCCCTATATTACCCTTTAAGTAAACCTTAACTGTTCACATTACCTGCTTTTATAAAAAAAACATAAGTATTCTTATCCCAAACCTAACAATACTACAGCAATAGAAAAAAGCAACTCACCATAGCGCCGGTTGGCCTGTTCTCGCCTCCTCCCGGCTCACCATCCGTACAGAAGTAACATTTGTCCTGTGGCTTCCAATCTGCTGGTTCCTCGGCTACTTCCAGCTTCGGTTGGGTAGCAGGTCTTTTGATCAATGACTCTAGAATAGTTTCTGGCCTTCGAGGCACCTTCTCTTCCACTCTTTCTTCCTTTGCTTCGTCCTCGTTGATCTGTTCTATGGTCTTGATCTTCAAGGCTGGTGGAGGGTCCGTTTGGACCGATTCCTCGTCGCTCGATAATTCTGCCTCCCCTCGTTTTGGTATTAACGCGTCCTGATATAGTTTCCATTTTCTTCGACCCATCAACTCCTCCGCCACCCGTTCTAGACCTGGAAAGATAGATTTATTTGTGTTATTAATTTGTTTGGAAGTTAAATTCAATGTATAGGTACATGATTGTCTTTAATATCTTCTATTATTAGGTCAACAAAAGGTAAAGGACACAATGGTTGATCACAATGCGTATTGTGCCAAGAAAGTATATAAAGTTGACTTTATACAACAAGAGAATTATACGCATAATAGTTACTTTTTTAAAGAAGAATGGACCAAAATATGTCGCTAGTGCGAACCAGCCTTCCTATTCGCTCTCAAACTAAATAAAATTACCGGTAACTATCTAATGTCTAAAAATCAAAACCACAAATCATTTTGACCTAAAATCTATAAGAGCCGGCGATCGTTAACATACTTTATTAACTCGAAAGTGTACAACGGTATTGAAATTTAACCAGTCATGCGACTTTTCTAGCCAGTAAAACTTTCGCGCGACCAAAAAGTCGTCGAACTGTGAGTGCGATTTATAGCAGTGTTTTCGTCTCTAGTAAATAATTATCGAATATTAATTATTGTGCATATTTATTGCAGGCGATAAGCGTTCTTGTGGCACCACTGAATAAATGAGTTGTGGCTGCCGTGACAGCGGATAGCGTAAAGTAACGATGTAGCGGATAAATTAGTTTCTATTAATGACACATTTGATTTGATATACAATAAAATGTAATAATAAATAAGAATTTAAAGTGTACCTATTTACGAGTGATTTAGATTGACTTATTACTTCATGGGATAATGATTCAATTTGCACTCAGTACACAATAAAAATCTAATTTTTAACTTTCTTTTAAATAATAATATTAAATTATGATATGCCTTAGTTATCAAAGATCTTGTATCATGAATCTAACTATCAAGCTGTCACAGGTAGATAGATATCTGACGAGTTAACTAGCTTGGCATCTAACTCGAACGTAATTTTTTACATATCTCGACCATCTCTGGTTATTAAATTCATTTTCCGTAGGGTGCTATGCCAGAAAAAGTAGATTAAAACTAACTCTTGATGAATTTGATAAGTATCTTTATATTAAAATAGTTATTGATAATATAATATAAGTGAAATTTATAGAATGGAAAAGTGTAATAGTTTCTATGATTTATAAATATTGTAGATGTTATAATGTCGCTATTAATTTCAATTAACTATTATCCCATAAAAATTACACAGGCAATCAATCTTATCATATAAATAAATATAAAATAAGTACCGACTAAAATGTGCTAGTATTGACCATTAAGATTTTATTATTGAATATATCTTATTTATTAGTTTCGTTACAAAGTTGGGCTATAGGATTATTAGACACACGATATTTTAAACAACCAGCTATTCCCGCGTGGTGGAGAAAAATGTAGCCTACATTCTCCATCTTTCTGATTACCCCCAGACACAAAAATTATACCATATAATTGTCATATGAAAGACAATAACTCTGAATTTTATAGTAAGAAAACGTATCACTATCAATTGAAAGCCAAAAAAAAAATAGATAATCAAAATAAACATTCAACAAGTCAAATTCCCAGTCGCTGTCACTGCGACCACACCGCAACACTCATATAAAGTTATAAAATAATGTGTCGAACTGTCGATATCTAGAAACGTCGGCCAAGGGCCGAATTATTATTTCAATATATTTTTCATATAATTATATGATCGATTGCTATATGAGTAATTGCATCGTTTGGACGGGTCGCTGTTCGTATATCGAGTTCAAATAGTTTATTGTCAATTTATTTTATTTTATATGTATTATTATCTCGTTTTTATGCTCCTGTGTATTTAATTGTAAGTAGAGTATTGATTTCGTTATGAGATGCTGTCGACGGAAAACTAGGAATACTGTTCATAACCATTTTAATTGTATTTCTTGTAATTGCCCATAGTCAGAAGGATCGATGGATTCTCCTCATAGCTACAACAACAACATAACATCATTTATCCCCGAAGGGGTAGGCAGAGGTGATATTATGACACTGTACAATGTAACACCCACGTTTCACGATTTATGTTAAGAGTCCCATGTAATAGGGGGTGAGCCTATTGTCATATTCCGGGCATAATTCCAGACTCCGTGCTATTACTGGGAATTTATAAAAAAACCCAGTAATACTTTGCCCGACCCGGGAATCGAACACAACCTATAGGAAGATCTAGAAAAGTCTAAAATATTCACCACGTATATCTACCTCTAAACTACCTACATAATACAACATTAATTTGAATTGAAATATTTTAATGAAACCAGTTCATACATCAAGTGCAGTAGGTTGATTAAACCGCTACATCTATAACTACAACATTTCAAAGTATAATGAATCTTAACACCTTGCAATAAGAGTATTTCTAACAGATACAAATCGCACTACATAAATGTGTCTGTAACTACAACATTTTGATTGTAAAATAACTCTTAATACATCATGTTAAGGGTGTTTTTAGCAATAGTACGAAGTGTGCAGTAAAATGATCACTTCTGCTTATGTCGTTCTGAGAAACTGGTTTAAAAGATTGAACTTGTAGAATTAGTTTCTCTAGATGGGAATTGATTGCGATTTTTTGCGTTTGCGCATCAAAATTTGAGCGGATGTTATGTTTTGTATTTGTCGTTGTTTATTATTGTCTGTGGATGAATGAAAGATGAATGAACGGAGTAATTTTTTTTTATTTTGGTAAGATGCTTTTTAGACTGTCATGACCTTGTCTGATTTTTTTGCTAGATAGATTAATTCAGCGAATAAACATTTTTTCCTATGTTTTTCTTTGGGTTGTTTTTGTTTACTTTCTAAACCAAATTATTAAACCTTTATATTTAACAATTACCTACTATTAAAAATATGGTCAAATGTTTAATTTACACAACAACAAAACGTAGATATTAGAAAATAACGTAAATAGCTAGCTATCAATTTCCAAACACCTACCAATGTCTACCATTTTTCTTTAACGCTAATCATAAATTACTACACATATAAGGCATAATAACTCATACCAATGTAAACTAAAAACAAAACACCATAGTAACAAACTATAGTTACCATAAACCGTAACTTTCCCGTAACGCATTACGCAGTAGCGTAAAAGTTAATTGTAAAAAAAAAATTACGCGTCATCATTTGAATTGCAATCATAAAATGGCGCGAATTAGCATAGACTATAAGAAGTCTTCATTGTCTATTACATCCGTTCGGGGCCATCAATCAACCTTTTCGTAACTGTTATTGTTTTTGAATTAGGAACGTTTCTTTTTTTTGTTTTAAATTTTATTATCTGTTGTTTTTTTATTATTGTGTCGATATTTAGGTGCAGTAATAAAATAGATAGTCATGTCTACAAAGGTTTAAAAATATTGATACTAAAAGTAACTTAATTCAAAGACACTGTAGACACATAAAGCTGTCATTAAATAAAATCTCAAATTAAAAAAAAACTCCACCATGTATTATCACTAAAACAATTTTTCACGTCCTTACCGTTCATTTTGAACTACAAAAACAAAACAAACTTGAGTTTTGTTTGAAAACCGGTGCAAATGATTTGCGCATCACATTTTTTTAACCCAAAGTGACTAAGGTTAACTGAAGTAGAACCTTTACAAGTTAATATTGTAATTAATGGACGCCACTGAGTCTTATAGCGTGGAATAATAAAAAAATAATTACATATTAGACTTACTTCCAAGTAAATCGTAGTGGCTAATGTGTTTTGAAAGTAAGAACAATCTTTGGACCGTGATCTCCGGTGTATGGTGTACGGGGGATGTCTAATTGTCGTAGGTTTGGTTTTTTTTTTGTTATATGGAGTTTTCTTATGTTAATGTTGGTTTATGTAGTCACCTCGTATTAGAGTAAAGTTTTGGCTGAATTCTTCGAGCTTAGAGGGATGTTAAGATTGTGATGAAAATCATTGCTCTCAATTTGATTCAATTCTACGATATAATTTTGTTTTATATTAAATAAAATTACCTTTGAAGTACCTAAACTACTATTATACTAAACCTAAAATATGAAAGCACACACAAGATTAGCTACTCTTTTTTTAAATTTGATTCAAATTAAAATGCCTGAAAATCTAACATTTGACTTCCATTGCAATATAATAATAATTCTTTTAAACCGATTTTAACTGCCTCTGTTTTTAAGTCAGCTAATTAATATACTAACATTATCCTAAGTGTAATAAACACTTTTTTGAAAACCGCATCAAAATCGGTTCAGTGAATCGCGAGATAAACTCGCACAAACATACATACATACACACAGATTCAATGGAGAACATTCTTTATTAAGTTTTTAAACTCGGTTAAAAAATCAAAATCCTTCACACTAACTAAAAACAAACAGAAACAGAGCTTCTTTCAAATATTGAATAACAAATCAAACCATCAAGTTATTTTTTTACAAAATTCGCTTGCAATCCGACCCATAGACTAGAGTTAGCAGTTTTTGATGTTCCCGTGGGAACGTAAACTTTTGACACGAAGTTGCCAAGTCAGTCTAGTCATCTAGTTGCTTAGTTACTGACAGACAGAAAGAAATATTTTATGTATGTATTGCTATTTAAGTACTAAGAATTTAATTTATCGTTTGTTTTATCTATGGGCGTAGTTTTGTGGTTTTTATTAGAAAAAATGATGTAATTATTTAATAGTTTTTTAGTTACTATGTGTTAAAAAATTTGCTGAAATGATTTATTAAGAATTTTTTTTTACAAACATGAACAGTGGTTTCTCATGTCATTGTATTTTGTCAAATGACTTCTAAGTCCGAGATTTTGGATTCGATTTATTGCTAGAGTAAAAGGCTTACAGTTAACATTATATTTATAAAATATAGTGGTACAGAGTTCAGAATCTTACCAAGAACCTAAGTATAGTTATACAAAAATTCAAATTCAGTAGATACGAAAAATAATGCATAAAACTAAATCTACTTTTTCAGAAACTCCTTATATATTAAAAATATATTTTAAGTTCAAACCAGACCAATTAATCAACACAAAGCCAGTTTCTTTACAAAACACAATAATAACATCAATTCAGCACAGTAGCTCATAAACCTCTTAGAAGTCAAAGTCAAAGTCAAAGCATTTATTTCAGTGGCGTGCACAGATTTTCGAGACAGGGTAGGCAACTAAATATCGTATGATTAAAGCCCTCCCCCCTGGTCATACAATCATACTCCCACAAGACAGGTACATGTACAGAATACATTTTGAAAAGTGCGTTCAATAATATTGTGGTTTATTCTTTCGCCAAATTACATACACTGACATCTCGCGTATTTTTTGTAAAGTACTTCATCAGCTATCGAATAAGCCAACAAAACTTACAAATAATGAAGCATCTATTTATTATACTAATAATGAATCATAAATTTGATGAACCAAATTCAATTATCAAATTGCTAAATAATCTATTTAAAATCATAATTACGAATTTAAGAACGTAGATACCTACCAACAAACAAAACAACAACAAGCGCGGCCGGCTGTGGCCGAGCCGAGTATAAGCGGTACATTTGTTATTACATTACATAATTATTAATAATAAATTAATATGTAAATCAAAACAACCCGAGGTATAAGTTGATATTTTTAAGAATTATCAATCAATAAACAAGAACATCATATAAAAGATCCATTATAGTACCTACATATTTACATTACCTACCTTTGACTTGGGTCAATTCTCGTAACTTGAGTTCTGCCTATGGTCATTACCTGAATCTAGTCGTTATAGGACACATTTTTGCGAAAACTTACTGTTTTTAACTTTAAACAAACACAAAAATTACCTATTCAACACAAACTTCACAATCGAATAATATACTAGACATTGATAAACAAATACACTATTTGAAAAACCGACACATATATTTTAATCTTCTACACATATTTATGCAACTTTATGTTTAAAACTAATTCCTTATAATTTAAACGAAAACATAAACAAAGCGATCGCACATCTCATGAAAACAATATGGCCGAAAACATTTTAAAGTCATTACCCATCGTAGTCAATTGAGTGTTTATTATAAAAAAATTATAGCTAAAACATTAAAGCAACCCAGTGTTTAATTATAAAAAAACAAAACGTTAATTTACATAAGTCAAATGGAATTGCATCATTGTCTTATTATTATTTTCCAATAAGAAACATTGGTTGATAATAATTTGAAACTTTGAGTAGCGGCAACTTGACGTTTCGATAACTTCCTTTTAACTTTTAAAATAATAAAGTCAACTCCTCGTTTAAAGTTTCTATAAAGCGACAACGCGTAAAAATGTTAAGATTTAATTAAAACACCTGAAACATATTTTTTTAGTATGCATAATTATAAAAAGACATTCGCATTATATTTATTCAGAAGTTTTAACAAAAAATTCAATAGATGGCGCAGATTCACAAATTTAAAGTCCGGCTAGATTGAATCGTGTAATAATTTTTTGCGTTTATGAATGGTTATTCTGTGCTGTGACCATAGTCACGTGACCTTCACGCATGCGCGTTGCATACTTTTTGTGACGTCACAACCAACAACCAAGATTTAAGGAATAGCAGCGCATGCGTGGTGCGTGCGGCGCGCATTCATTGCTTTACAAAGGCGTGCGGTCCGTGTATAGTATATGTGAATGTATATTTATGTTAGCCGTTTTTTTACAAACTTTTATTATATTATTGAATCTTAATAAACGCGTTAGTACATTTTATGTCAAGCAAAGCCTATTTGCCTATATGGACTGCACGCCACTGATTTATTTCAATTAAACCATAGTTTGGTACTTTTGAAACGTTAACAAATACAAAATAAATAATAGTCTGTCAGTCAGTCCGTCAGTGAAACTAGGTGAAGCTAGCTAGATGAAGCTTATTCCAAAAAGTAGATTCGAATGGAGAAGAATGAGCAAGAAACTCCATTCGTTACTCTTTTAAAAAAAGTATGTACATATATAGATTGAAATAATTTCAATTAAGTACTTTTAAAAATGTTTTTAAAAGGGTTGGGCTGTATGATAGAGGCGCATAGACAAAGGATGAAACGTGTGTTGACTATGGATAGGCTAAAACTGCGATTGGACAGCTTTATCTCAAGGTCGCCATGAGTCAGTAATTCAGTATGCATTTGTGTATGCGTGTTTGAATGTTGGTGCGAGATGTAAGAGGTAGCGGGGGAGAGGTCTAGCGATTAATAAGTAAACAGCAGCTTTAGCCAAACGCCACTTTAGCGCTTGTCTACAGAGAGAGTAGAAATCAAAATGTATTGGGATGACACTGACAAGTGTCAAAATATACGTCAATTCCATATAATTTGGTTTTCTATTCTACATGTAGACAAGCGCTAAGTGGCATTTGGCTACAGCTGCTGATGACACATAAACGTTTATAGTATCTACTAACTTAAGTAGGCTTAAGTTTCTGGTAAGCATTATTGGTTCCTTTTAATTGTAATATACGTCAATGGAACTAAATTAAACTTAACTAGTAGAGGTGAAAGGAAAATAAATTAATATACAGATTATTATATAGCTTTGGATTTATACGACATAAGATAATTGTGTACTTATAACCATTAATTGTTTATATCAACAAGTTTACAAGTAGCACAATTGAATATAAAATACCTAAGCAAGAATACAAAAATTAAATTGAGCAATAATACAAGAACATTGCTTTGTAGGCATCGTTCATCTACCCTTATACGTTAAAAGTATCCCAACATAAAACTTTGTACTCTAGTGACACATTCATTACGTTATTAAAAACAAAAAACGAAATAAGAAATCGGAGTCATCACACTCCAAATTAGACCAGATCACTCATCGCAAACATAAAGACAACTCCTACAAAAGGATGTGACTCATACAATTTCGGCGACATCAGAATCTGGGTGAAGGTTATCAAAACAATCTCAGATAAGTTTAGATTTAAAAATTATAAACATTGTTGTAATGAGTCAGATAAATCGAACAATGATTCATTAGGAAACTTCTGAATGATATTGTGACGAAACAAAGACAGTGAAACTATAATAATGTAACTTTATTATGAAATACCATCCGCTGGGAGTTACAGAGAATAAAATGGAATCTAGACGTATAATAAATCTTTAAATCTGTGTCTAACAAATGAAATTGTCACATTGGCAAATAATAGAGATATAATATTTAAGAGAGGCCAAATTACCCCGCCCCTCTCTCCAATCTCTTCAACGATTTTCAAATTCCTAATGTCCAAAGGCTGGCAACGCATTTATACTGCCTCTGGGTCTGGGTGTTCATGGGTGGATTATTTCAGTCAAGTGGGTAAACAGTGTAATTCTTCTAAAGGTTGTATTAATTCTGGATTAGACAATTAGGCATTTTGTACGTTAGAAGGTTTGCCATAATATCCTCACTTATGTTTATCAGATAACACTTTTGTCTGGTCTCTGTCGAATGTGTACCGGTTTATTCTAATTTTTATTTATGGCATAAGCCGT